TATTGAGAAATAGTGTTTGGTGATAGAAGGGTAAAAATTGAGGGTTGTGTGTATTTCAAATGCCACATCGAAAAAAAATTAAACAACAATTTAAAAAATGTTTGGGATGAAGCTTCCTTAGAGGCATAAAAAATAGATTGAAACCTTTTTTCAGACCTACAAAATATACATATAAAATTTCATGAAAATCGTCAAGCCGTTTCTGAGGAGTATAGCAACCAACACTGTGATATGAGAATTTTATATATTGAACTATATAACCTCTTAACCAGCTCACTTGTTTGCCGTTTCGCAAAGGTCCACAGCATTTTGGCTACCTTTTTGATTGTTCAAAATTATGTGCGAGTTCAGTATGTATATGACGGTAGCGTGGTGGGTTGACGTGGGTGGTTTGCTCTACTCATTCAATCGACCGCTGTGTGAACCGGTGGTTCAAACCGCAAGGCCGGGCGATCGCTTTTCACTTCCTACCGTCCAACCCCTGTTAGAAATCACAGGTTGAATGGTACGCTAGTCCTTAGCTCGCACAAGTTTAGACTTTTGAGAGTTGTCGTTCGTAGGGGAGCGACAGCTGGTTAACTGAAAAACAGGATTTTAACAGATTGTTTTTCCAATCATTCTTGAATATTCAACACAACAACGCGATTGCTCTTGTCACATCGTAAAAAGGTCTACTGAGTGGTCTTCTCGATTACCTCACTCAAGTCCTTTAAACTTTTTTCGTGGAAACACATAATGTTTATCGCGAAGTTCCCAAAATTTACGACAATATTTTGAAGATAATCTGTAATATTGTATGCAGATTGGTAAAAAACTTTTCCAGCATATACTTGATTAATAAAGTAAGTTCCGCCTTGTCTGGTGACAAACGTCTCAAACGATTGAAGTTTTTGCAATGGTTTTTCAAATAAAAAATTCTTCCGCTTACCAACTCAACGTTTTTTGTATTTTTCTCGAAGGTTCTTTCTCTGGTAGTTTTTCCTTGTGATAAATTTTCGATGGAATTTTTCCTCCTAAGACATGACCTAATGTCTACAAAACTTGACATTTGGAAACCTGAAGATGCCGCACTACACGTGACTTCAACAAAGTACCAATTACTTCTAAAATTAGACTACTAATTTTAATGATACGACTAGAGACCTCACAATCGCCGGCGTTGATCCTTTCTTCCTAAGTAACTTTTTACGGGCGAAAAAATTAATGCCACGTTAAGATTTGTTTTGTGTATAAAACGAAGGAAACAGCAAAAATAAACGTTTATTTTGACAGGAAACTAGAGTCATAACAACCGAGCCCATTCATAAACTTACTTAACATTAAGATTCTTGTCTGTTGCGGTAGAATTTCTAGATATTTTTAATTTAAAACGTGTGCGTCGAACCCTCTGATGGGTTTTTATAACTGCTTGTGCATCATTCCCGAACTAACATCATGTGTACTTTAGGAAAAGACAAAACATCAGAAAGGTATTGATTTATTATAAATTAGGGTGAATTCCTGAAGGTAGAGTACAGGATAGTGTCGAATAAGTGACAGAAGATTTTTAAAATTCGATGTTTCATTCAGATTATCACATAGCAATAGCAATGAAATACAGGTAATGTTCTCATAAATTGTAAACACAACCCAATATATCCTTATGATGCACTGTTTGGAAGCTTTGGTGTAGTAATGAATATTACTGGAGTTTTTTCCCGATACCAAACCGTTATTTGACACTTCGACAAGTGTTTCGATCACCAAGTGATCATCTTCAAGAGGAAGATCTTCCTCTCTAGTAACATCCATTATATTTGAACATTATTTTTGAACATGTAGGAACTAATTTTGAGAATGATACCTTGAAATAGCCAAATTTATATAAAGTCTGGAGGCTATCAGCCATTTATTTCGACGAAAACAGACTACATCTTCGCCCAAAATGCATTTACATTTATTTCGGAAATTATTGAGGTGATGAAGATTAAAATGTATGTAGGATCAACCAGAATTTTCATCTCTGCAACTCCTTTTTTATATTCCAATAATGTATCGAAGTTTTTTAAAAACTTCGTCGTCTTGAGCCATTTCATGGCTCAAGACGACTTTACTTGAACGGGTATAATAATGAACAATCAGTACTCATTACTGGTCTGATGAAAATCCATACTGGATGCATGACCACAAAAGGTCATTTTATGAGTTGTTTTTGTGCACACAATTCTCAGATCATATTTTTTAATGAAAATTCGAGAGGGGCAATGTATCTGGATTTTTTACAAAATACAATAATTCCTGTTATGATCCAGCAAATTGGTAAATAAGAAGAAGAGAAACTTTAAATTACTATCTTTTTTCTCAATGTGTTGAAGATTAATTTCCATTCTATTCTATTGATTCAGCTTTTATTTTTTCAGATTGTGGAAGGTTATAAACCAAAAAAAACAGTATAAAAAATGGACCCTTAATTTCGCCAATCATATTTGAAGCGGGCGGTTGGTCGTCATTTGCCCCCAATGATGACATTTCGAAACGGAATCCTAGAATTACCATAAAACCCTAAAACAATAAGTTTACTAGCACCTAAGAACCACAACCAGATAGTATAATCATACAGGGTCACAGGTCCACGAGATCTTAAGATCTGTGGAGTTAGAGATCATCTGTTAATGTGATCTGAAAAGTCAAGGTAACTGGTGCCAATTTTGAATATACATTTTGTGAGCTAATACTATGAATTGAATTTTGGATTATACGGCACAAACTTGCTTGCAAAAAACAAAGTTGCTTTTACAAATATGCTTGTTTCGATATCGATCTCTTTTGAAGTAGTGAAGTGGATTAGAAAGGAACTTGATGTTCATCAACAAATTCATTATTTGATGATTCTCCTTTTCCCTAAAAAACAAGCCATATTCAAAGAGATGGTTCTGAATGGAGCTTGTAAAATTATCAAGAGTTCCTGTATGATTCCCTCCTTTCTATGATCAGTGACGATGAAAAACTGAGAATTAAGAGATTAACTCATGCACTCAACACCTAAAACCTCGGTTTATAATAATGTCTTCATATCATCTCATTCTACTCTTTTCGCGTAACTGGTGCATCATGATCCCAAAGAAATCAACCAAATCATTAACCAAAAGTATCATGACCTAAAGACCTCAAATGTCTGGGAGTGATCCCAGACTAACTGGATCATCTAAAAACAATACCGATGCTAACTAATTTGCATTGAGGTAAGTGCTCTTTATTCACATCCAAAGCTATTTGTGGTTATGCTTTATTATTTGAACCTTGCATAATTTCATGAGTATATAAATACAATACATAGCGTGAGACATGGCCGGTTGAAGATTAGCACGCTGCGCAAACAAGGGTCTATGTTACGCTAGTTGCACACACACCGATTTTGGACGGCCAGTATAAAATAGGCCGATATTTTATTAGAAGCGGGTGCTTGCACACTCACCGGATTTTTATCGGTTAAACAATCAGTTGCTTTGTTGTCGTAATTAGCACGCACTACCAAAACGAAGTTAATGCGTAGTAACTACAATTTCACCGAGCATTCGAGGCTGGAATGGTCGGTAAAAAACCGGTGAGTATGCAAGAGTGTATTTAGTCATGTATGCCACTACTTCCAGGTACTGCCGGATTTACACTGGTAGTAGACGTCTGCTCACCGGTCGGCGTGTGTGCCAGATCCTGTTCCCACATGTGGTTCACTATTGGAATTTGGACGACTGGTACAAAGTCGGCCGTCCAAAATCGGTGTGTGTGCGTAACGCTAGTGTGTGTGTGTGTGTGTGTGCAACTAGCGTAGATATGTTCACAGATGGATTAAAAACACCTTCAGGTTCTGGTGCAGGTGTTTTTAGTCGCAGACTCAGGACAGAGATATCTACCTGCCTAGGAACTTATGCGACTGTATTTCAAGAGGAAATTTACGCTATTGAATTGTGTGCGGAGAGATTGGATAAATCCAACCTCATACACAAGTCAATAAAAGTATTCTCGGACAGTCAAGCGGCGTTGAAAGCTCTTGGCTTCTACCGAGCAACGTCTAAATTGGTAGCAAATTGCCAAAAACGACTCTCCTCAATAGGAAGTCTCAACTGATTTTCTCTGGTCAGGATTCCTGGCCATACTGGCCTGGAAGGCAATGAATCTGCTGACTCCCTTGCAAAGGAGGGTGCTGCAAGCAGCCTCATCGGACCAGAACCTGTCATTGTCATTGCTTTAAGCTTTGCCAAACAAACATTGAACACCTGGATGGCAAACAGATTTATGGACTGCTGGCAGAATCTTCCAGGATTGGCTCACTCCAAGGCGTCTATTCACCCTTCAAATCTCCATACCAAACAGCTGGACTACAGTAGGGATGAACTACGATGGCTTTCTTACAGGTCACTGTCACTTGAATCATCATATGCAGAAACTCGGACTGTCGGAAGACAGTGTGTGTCGCTTCTGTTCGGAAAATGATGAAACAGCAGAGCATATACTTTGTGCCTGCCTCGCTGGGGACCGAATCAAGTTTTAGAGTTCGGCAGAGCCGTACTCTTACCACTTACCTGAAAGACCACTCGCAAAAGAAACTAATGGACTTTGTTAAGAAGCTGGGTTTATTTGGTCGAGTGTGAATAGGTGTGAACCACAATAGACCCTTGCGAATTGCGGTGGAGGTCGAATAGACCCACTCACTCAAGACCTAACCTAACCTAAATATATCAAGTATTGGAAAGAAGTAATAGAATGCAATCAAGGGTTCTAAATGGTACCAATATTGTGTGCAATTAGGGGGCGGTACTCAAGATCTACCATTTTTCATCTATCGAGCGGTCTTTAATTTACCAGCGATTAGGATTGGCTAGTACAGTTGGTCAAATCATGAATCGTTGAACAAGTCTTGAAGTCTTTCTTCAAAGTGTATAAGATCTCAACCTTCTCCGACAAGGCCTGACCTGGTGCTAGGCGGCCCTGAAAGAAATTAAAAATAAAATGAAAGTACTCACATTGGATATTGATGGAAGCGGGCGAGCTTGTGATTGCGGTGGATTGTCCGGTCGTGTCTTCAGCGATGCAAGTGAACTGACCCGAGTCCCGTTCTCGGTCCACTCGAGTTATGTGCAAGTTGCTGCCCTGCTGATGTCTGCGGGTCGTATTCGATATTTTTGAGCCTGCCGACAGAAAATGCTAGTTGGAATCATTACGGAATGGATTGCACAGAAGATTTAAGAACTAATAATAATTAAAACATAAAGGACAAGTTTTTAAAGCGCTTCATAATAATGAAAAATTATTCCAATTCCGTTCTATTTTCTAATTTCTTTTTCACTGAATCCTAATTGAACTTTTTGTAGTTCTATGGGATCTTCAACTTCTTTTTCAATATAATGGTTTTTCTTTGTTATTGAAAAACTGCCAGAATACAACCTATGCCTAAGGACAAAAAAATCGTCCACACAGAATTTGAAACTTTTCAGAAATTTCCAATACCTCAAAATGAATATTTGAACAATTATGAGTGGATGAAGATATTTGTGCATGGGACGATAGTATCAGATAGTATCACCTCGCCACGTGTTTCGATCACCAAGTGATCATCTTCAAGAGGAAGATCAAACTAATCATACTTACAAAGTTATCCTCATTTATACCATAGATTCCTGTTCTCGGTACCTACGTCTTAGGTAAGTGTCTTAAATTAATTTCACATTATTGCCTTATCTACTAGTCTTAAAATAAATTTACTATGTGTCCTCATAGAAAAGAATAGAACTTTATTGGCCACGTTACATATCCATACAATACATTTGTAGCAAAGCAGTGTTCCACCTTTCAGAACAAGAATTGAAGTAGTGTACAATTTGAATAGAAAGATCAATGCTTCCACTGTAAATAGGAGCATTACACAAACACATGAATATACATATACCTCCATAGGCTCATCCTAACCGACAAATAATTCATTGATGGAATAAAAACAATAATTAAATAATAGCACTTTGCATTTTCTCTTGAATAATCCTAGAGGAAGTTGTTTCAAACTAGTTGGTAACTTATTGTATAACTGCAGTTTAGGTGAGTTATTCCTGGACAAGTCGATAAAAAGATATTTTGAACAGATTCGCTGATCTCGTATTATGATTATGAGATTCGGATACGTTCGAATAACAATGTCTGTTTTTGTAAATATCTATCACGGCATAATAGACAAACAGGCAAGGTAGAGGCAAGATGCCATATTTGCCATAATTATTTGCCATAATTGGCTTGCAGTAAGCATTGAGGTCCGCACCAACGATTATCCTCATTGTTTTTTCTGTAGAACGAATATTTTCAGAAGAAACCTTGAGTTCCCCCCACAGAAGAATCCCAAAAGTGACCTGAGAATGTATTAATGAGTAAGTAGTACGCAGAGAGGAGAGTGTTAATGTTAACAACCTTTTTTAGTTGTCGCATTAGATAAATGTAGCTTGATACTTTCTTACTGAGTTGTTCTATGTGCCTGGACCAAGTCAGTTTATCATCCAAAACAATTCCAAGCAATGTGACCTCATTAACTGCCGCAAAATTATGATTTGTTGAAATAACGAAATGTTTGACTTTTTGCTCTATTTAATTTTAAACTATTGGCATTGAACCAAATCTCCGCTTGATTTTCTGCCTGTTCGATAATAATCTCCAAGTTTTCCGTATTTTTATCCGCGTTTATGAGTGTTGCATCATCAGCAAACATCACTATATCATTTGGAAATGAATGAAAGAATAGATCATTGATGTAAATGATAAACAAAAGTGGTCCAAGAACTGACCCTTGTGGTACACCGTGTATAACTGGCTTGGAACTAGAGTATCTGTTGTTAACAAATACCCTCTGCTCCCTGTTCATGAGATACGATTCAAAAAATTCAAGCGGTAGTCCTCTTATACCATAATGGGATAATTTTTTCAACAAGAATACATGGGATACACAGTCGAAGGCCTTGCTTAGATCACATAGCGTGATGGCAGTATGCTTGCCCTTCTCAGGTCACCTAAATCTAATAATTGAAATATTATAAGCTATATGAAATTAATTTCACAATATTGCCTCATCTACTAGCCTTGAATTAATTTACAATGTGTCCTTATGTAATAGTCAGGCAAATGTAATAAGATTGTTAAAATAATATTTCAGTTATTAGTACCTGACTATTCACATTATTGCCTTATCTGGATTCAAATCGCTGGAGATTGAATCCATTTGGAAAAACATTCTCAGGAAGTTTATTCTACATAAACGCAGTTCTCCAAATGAAAAAGTTCTTAAACAGTGAAGTTGGATGTGTACTGAGTTGAACTTCAAAACGATGAGCAGCCACAGTCCGTCGCTTATTTCTGGTGGAATCAAATATGCCAAGTCACCTGAACACCTCCCTTGGAAGTATCTATAGAAGAGAGACAAATCTCCAGCCTTTCCTCGATGTTCCAGACTATCAAGGTTGCGGGTGATGTTCACGTCTCCAATCAGGCTCTTTTTTGGATGGAATCCAGCAACTTTATGGTATGTTTAGGGGCGGAGCTCCATACATGAGAACAATACTCCAAAGAATGTCTAATCTGAGCTTTATAAAGCATCAAAAGTTGCTGGGGTGTGTACAGTTTGGAACAGTGTTCCAAGCTTTTGAGAAGCAGCCTTTGCAATTCCAGCGACATGATTGTGCCAAGACATATGTTATCTATTTTGACCCCCAACAATCTAATCGAAGCAGAAAGCGGAATTGACTGACCTGATATTATTATTTCCGGTTCGGAGACATTTATCTTCTTGGAGAAAACCGATGCGTGGGTTTTTGTGGCATTGAATTTAACCTGGTTATTTTCACCCCAATTCGAAATTACTTCTAGATCCTCATTAAGATATTCAACTTCCTGCTGCCCGTTAAGATGTGCATCCGCATCTAACCTCCTAGAATCCAAATGAAATGACGAGACAAGTGTGCTGTCGTCAGCAAAGCAGTATATTGGATTCTTGGTGTTTTCCAATAAGTCGTTGATATACAATGAAGAGAGGGTTGGATACAATATGGATCATAATCGACAACGTTTCTTTTTAGAAATACGCGCAAATACTTATCAACTTGAACTACACGAAGTACTTTTTGAATAATATATGTGCAGTTTTGATCTTGTATCAAACACGCCAGGAGTGTACGTGCCTGGAGAAGCTGTTGTATAATGGAATACAAGTTGCGGATTTATAAGCTGTCTTGTGGAAGTGATAGACTGTTTTTAGGTACGTTTATCATACCAGTGACGTGAGTAGACGAGCTGCTCAAACAATATTCTTTATACGCCACTGCATATACTGTAGTTTTTGATGTTTTCTTACCGTTCAGTTCCCAGTAGTATACTACGCCGCTGCTTGGTGTTACTTCACAAGGCAAAGTCACAGATGTTCCCAGAACAACTTTCACGTCCTTTGGGCTTTTGCTGAAATACAGTTCTTCCCTACACTGTACAAAGCACCCTGAAAAAAAATAAAAAATATATATTTAAAACTAGTCCAGAATAAAAGGAATACGAGTATATAATTGGGTCGGCGACAGAACATGGTCATCATTTTGTATATCAGATAAAATTCACAAATTGGAATATAGTGAAAAATACGAAACGATGGGGCTGCTGATCCAAACAACCTAATGTTTATGAGCAATTGCATTCATTTTTGAAATTCACTGATGATGAAAGCACCAAAGTTACAATTTTGGGTCATTTTCAGAAAATTTGTCAGCAATTCCATTAATTATTCCATTATCGAACATATTTTATATTCAATTTTTCAATTCCGATATCTGGCAATTTTGTAGTTCTTAAAGAAATATGGACCAATGGCGTAGCCAGCCCAAAATTCACACCAAACTGTGACTTTTTCGGGATGCATTAAACGCTCTTGGATCTTATATGAATTGGTATCGTCCCAAATGCGACACTTTTGTTCGTTCACATACCCGTTCATCCAGAAATAGGCCTCATCGCTGAAAAATCATTTTCATCGCTGTCTATTGCCCAGGCTGAAAGCCTTATCATCGAGCATCTTTCCTATATCTATCGCCATCACTGTCAAGTGAACCCCTACTCCTCCGAACTCACCCCCTTTCTACGTGCCGCCGCCGCGTGACGTCGACCACACGAGAGGAGGAACTAGCGGGGGAAGAAAGTCCTTTTATTTATTTGATTTCCCAAAATTACGATTAGTAGCCTCCAACCTAAGTCTAATACATTATGCCATAAATATATACAAGATAAATTATAACAATTAGCTCTATAACTATTTACATATGTTAACAGACCGATGCCACTACAATCTCTATGTCCGCTGTGATTGGGGAGATCATTGTCCATTTACCAGTTCAATGGCGTCAAGCTGACAACCTGTCCTTCACTCTTCTCGTTCATCCCTCACCACGTTCTCTGTCCATTCGTTAACAAACCTTATCCATTCACTGTTCCTTCCGCTTTCTCCTCTCAGTGCTATCTCTCCATTTTCCCGCTTATATTCTTTCCATTCACGCCACCCAGTCCTATCTCTGCCGTTTCAGACTAACCATAGCCGCAGAAACATGGAAACCCCGGGCCCAGGTTAAACCTGGCCCGACTCTTCTACAGAATCTGTAGAACAGCCGCCCAGTCTCTCCCGTGTCCCATTCCCTCTGCCACTCTCCCCTGATTCGTTCTTTGATTCTCTTTCTCTCTTCGTTCTTACTACCCATTTTCAGTATGTCCCATGTGACATTGAGCTTACCCAAGCCTTCCGTCGCCTCCTCGTGAGCCTTCTTGATGCCGAAATTGCTGTTTTCATGGCCGCGCTTCCAGATAAAACAAGTCCGTACTCCCCTCAAGTCCCCTCCCATCAAGTCACCACCCCTCATTTGTCCTCGAAGTTGTGGTCTGCGAAAGGCTGAGTTCTGATGAGCGACAGGAACTCGACTGTCTCGTATTCTCCTGCACACTCTCACAGACAGCGTCGATGTTTTCGGCAGATCTTTCTTTGACGTACAGGTATTGGTCGATGGTTCACTAATTCTATAGACTCAAATTTGTCCACCACATTGCGAATAATCCTTTTGGTAGAACGAATATGGCGACCGTAAAATGGGCGAAGCGCGTGGTACGTTGCCAGAACCATTTTGATAAAACAATTTTATTACTTGCATGTGTTGTTGAATGCTACATTCGTCCATGGCGATTTGACAAAACAGACGGAATATATGATAACTGATTTGACAGATGTAGCTCCAATAAGATGGCCGTTATCAATTGTCAAAGTTCGGAAATCCCTGTTGGAAAATCCTATACAGTGTGTTTCTTTAATGTCCCCCCCACTTTTTTGTGAACGGGTCAACTAAAAAAATTGAAATTTGGGATAGTGAAATTGATGCATGAATACTTTATTTTGAAATGAAATTGGCAGATGAAACTTTCAAGATGGCGAACAGAACAGATTTTTTTAAACAGATATTTTTAGAAATATTCCTTTTTATCTGCCATATGGCAATTCCGACAACCAGATAAGGTTTGTTTATAAAAACGTCAAAAAATGTCAGTAAGACAATGAACATCATTGTTCAGTTCGAATATTCTCATTTAGTTTTCGGTTTTACTAGTAGAAAGGTACCACGTCAACAAACTCTAAAATGGTCAATTCTCGTCCATTGGAAAAAAAATTGAAGCGACTTTTATTTACGGTGCGACGCGTAACTTTCACGAGACCGAAAATAATTTCAATGAACGTTTTCCGAATCGTCCTAACTGTAGAAAATATTTGAGGGAACTTGTATTCAAATTCACAACTACCGGTAGTGTACATAACAAAAAGCCTCCAGGTCATCCGTCCATTCCGGAAGAACAGCAAGTGCAAATAATTATTGAGATGGTAGTAAATCCTGAACAGCCTACTTATTCTGTCACGAATGTTTGTGAGGTGTCTCCTTCTACTGTGTGGAGACTTTTGAAAAGGAATAAGTATCATCCATACAAAATCAAAATGGTACACCAATTAACTATAGAAAGAACAGAATTCTGCGAAATCATGACGGAAACCTTCGCAAGGCATCCTACCTATATCCACAATATTTGTTTTAGTGACGAATGTACATTTATTTCAAACGGCAATGTTCATAGACAAAATTGCCATTATTGGAGTGACACCAACCCTCACGTTTTCCGGGAAACACATACCCAATATCCAGGAAAAAATAAAGTTTGGGCAGGAATATTGGAAACCATATTGTTAGGACCTCTATTTATTAATCAAAATTCAATAGGGGAACTATATTTAAATATGCTGGAAACTATTGTTGACCCTCTCATCACTGAAATCGTTGAAGCGAATTCTAATAAATTAGATATAGATATTTTTTTCCAACAAGATGGAGCACCACCACATTACTCCAGACAAGTAAGAAACTATTTGGACACTACTTTTCCCGGTCGTTGGATTAGCCGTCGAGTTCGTACAGAATGGCCAGCCCGCTCGCCAGATTTGACACCTTCGGATTTTTTTTTATTGGGCTATTTGAAGCAAAAGTATTCATGCATTAATTTCATTATCCCAAATTTCTATTTTTTGAGTTGACCCGTGCAAAAAATAAAAAGGGATGGGGGCATTAAAGAAATGCACTGTATAAACTTTACTAAGTCTGTAAAGTAAGTAATATTTGGATATTTCTGGAACGGAAAAAAAACCAATTTCAGTCATTAACAAAGTAAATAACTCATTTCGCTTCAAATGAAAAAATTACTCCGTGAGAACGGTAGTTGGTCGTAAATTCTCTATTGACACAACGAAATCTGAGAAAAGGTCCCCAAACATGCCGCCAGCGTTCATTTAGGATTAGTCACAAGGAAAGGGGAAATTATAAGGATAATTATAATAATATGAAATCGCTTCCCAAGTTATTAGATTCTACAGAAACGTTCTTCGAAAAAAAGATTAATTAAAAACGGCCGACAGTTTGCTTTATCTCTTATCCAATTAAACTCGAAATGACTGCTGCTCTTTATTATTTTTTGTCTGAACTTTGAAAGCGACGTGCACATGGCATACTGCAATCGGCGAGTAGAACAAAAGACGTTAGTTACGGTACGAGGTATATTGAATGCAGTGTTGCCAACAGGGGCAAAATACATACATTGTACGTATTTTCAAAAGCTTCGCGCTCTTGTGGAAATTTTTGTTTTTTTTGATGATAGAATAGTTTGAAACATTGAATTGTCATTCGAATTATAAATCACTCACAATCCGCAGGCAAAGTAAGGCTTGTCCATGATTATTTGTTGTTAATAAAATAACCATTGTTTTTCAATACTAAAAAATCACGACTCAAAAGTTGTATTGTGTATTAACAATAATTCGTCAAATAGTCACAAGTTAAGATAAGTTAAGATAATAGTTCATTTCAAACTTAAATTGGAATTGCTCAGTAATCAACGGTGGTCTAAACATAAACTTTTATATTTATTTCAGTATTAGTCGTAAAAATAATTAAATGTAATATATGTTTAAATATGTTTTTCAAAAGAGGTTGAGTGAAATAACAGCGTTCTGTTTCACTTCACCACGTTAAATGAAGACCATTCATTTCATTACCCATTCATACAGTGGCTTTCCTGTATTCCATATACGATTTCGAAAAACTTTCGGTTTTCATGAAAACTTTCTATAGTTTCCAGAGACGATGTATTTCAAAAAGTTTGAATAAATCATTCCAGGCATCCATATCCAAAAAAAAAATAACATATGAAGATCAAATATTACAACTTCATTATGGAATTTGTGGCAGCCATATTATTCTCGTACTTCGTACACATGTTGATAGATGGCACAGGGATCGAAATCTCGCGCGTATCTTGTTCATATAAATGGACCATAGTGTGAAAAAATGTTTCACCTATTTTATCATCTTATTCAATGTAAACAACATTGAAGATTGAAGTGTCAAGCAGTATCACTTGAGGTATACTCAGCACCCTATGAATGGAATGGTTAAATTTATCAGACCTCTTTATTATTTCTTTATCAAGACCACAGAATACTGAGACTGCCGTAGGTCGAGAGTTTTTGACAAATTATTTTACAGTGCAAAAGTAGCGATTCACATTGGATTTGAATCGCTGGAGATTAAATCCACTTGGAAAAAAGTTCTCAGGAATTTTATTCCACATCAACGCAGTTCTCCAGATGGAACAGTTTTTAAAGAATGAAGTTCGAGGAGTACTGAGTTGAACCTCAAAACGATGTGCAGCCACAGTCCGTCGCGTATTTCTAATATGTACTGCACTTGGTGGAATCAAATGCCAAGTCACTTGAACACCTTTCGTGAAAGTATCTATAGAAAAGAGACAAATCTCCAACCTTTCTTCGATGTTCCAGGCTATCAAGGTTGCACGTGATGTTTGCGTCTCTAATCAGGCGGATGGCTCTTTTCTGGATGGAATCCAGCACCTTCAGGATATGTTTGGAAGCAG